CCAGGCTCTGAGCTGTCAGCACAGGGCCCAACGTGGGGCTTGAACTCACGGACTGCGAGATAATCACCCGAGCCAAAGTCAGATGCCCAACCAACTGAGCCACCCAGGCGCCCCTGTCCTGGTATTTTTTAAAAAAGGTGAAAGTAGGCCCAGTTGGCTAGGACTTCAAATTGGTTAAACTCCAAGGAAGGAGTTAACAATAGGCTCTTAAGAGTCAGAAAAGTCTGGGTTTAAATTCCTGCTTTGCCACTAGTTAGAAAGCTTAGAAAAGCTGTCTAACCTCAAAGGCTAGTTTCCTCATCTATATGCTGGGGGTTAACGCTACTACCTACCGTCACAAGACTATTAGAAATTAAAGGAGTTCATGCATATGAAGAATTTGGTAAATTTCTTGGCAATTATTAAGTGCTCAAAAAATGTTATTAGCACCTACATGGCAGGTTGATTTGCTGGACAAAGAATCTAGAGACAGGAAAGTTGAAGAAGCTATTAGTTTTTCAAAACAAGATGACAGCTGGCAGTAAGTAGAGGGGAAATGAAAAATTTAAGAAATATTAAGGAGGTAAATGTCAGCACATTTTGGTCATTAACTTGATGTGGAAAGAGAACAGAGTCCAGGATGATAGTACATTTTCAAATAGGGAGACTGTGAGAAGTTTGTGGCACCATCAACTATGAACTGGACTATCTGAAGAAAAGAACCTATTTTTGGTTGTATAATGTTGGAGGTACCTATGCATTATTCAACCAAAGCTGTCTAGTAGATAGTTGAATATTTATGTTAAGAAAGGAATAATAGATTTTGGAATCATTAACCTATTATTTATAGTTAAAAACTAGCAATGATGAACAACAGGCTAAGGACAAACTGAGGAACAAAGGCATTTAAATCAACGGTGTTTAATACAGGAAAGTCCAATAAGAGGAAAAAAAGTATTACTGAATTCAAATTAAGAGGCTGGTGGATAACTGATGGTGATATATTTACAAAGTTCACTCATTTATTCATCCAGCTGCTTATTAATTGAATATTCACTGAATACTTAAGATGTGCCAAGCACTATACTCTACTGTGCTATGAAAACAAAGCCGAGGAACAAGAAGCTTGTGCAAAAGGGGGAACACAATGTTCATTACAATGCAATGTAATGAATTAAATGTCAAGATAACAGTAATTATTTACTATATGTTAGACACTGTGTCACATATATCCGATTCTTGAAACACTCTTAAACAAGAAGCACTATATTGATTTTATATTTGGGGAAACAGACTCAATGAGATTCAAAGTAACTCATCCAAAGACACAGCAAGTAAGTGGCAAAGCCAGGGTTCAAACCTAGGACTGTATGGAGCCTAAACCTACAGTCTTTATACTTAAGCCACCTCTGATTCATATTTCCCCAGTTTACTTATTTACTTTTGAATATATAGACAAGATTCTGAGATATATGCATATTTTCTTCCTATTTAAAAATGTTAGAAGTTTTAAGAAGCTGGACAGAAGTCATCAGGCCTATGTAATTTACTTTGTACAGTACCAGCAAAGTAAAAAAAAATTGGTGGCCTAACCAATGCTTTCTCAGAGTAGTGACAGAATTTTATTTATTTATTTTTTTAGAAAGAGAAAGAGGGAGAGAGAGACAGAGAGAGAGAGCATGCGCACATGTGTGGGGGAGAGTCAAGAGGGAGAGGGAGAGAGAATCTCAAGCAGGCACCATGCATAGCGTGGAGCATGGGAGATCATGACTTGAGCCGAAATTAAGAGTCGGACACTTAACCGACTGAGCCACTCAGGCGCCCCCATACAAAGAGGATCTTAGGTTTTACATTATGATTTCTGAAAACCTACCCTATTCATAACCACAGAATTCTTAATAATGTGATAATCAGATTACATGAACAGTCCATAATGTCTTAACAAAGAATAAAGTTAAAAATACATTTTGCTTTCCATAGAAAAAGTTGAAAAATACCAAAGTACAAAGGAATAGTAATCCATTAGAAAAGGAACTTTAAAATATCCAATTACCTTCTTTGCAAAGACCAAAATCAGCAATTTTCACAAAGCCCTCTGTATCTAGCAATAAGTTATCCAATTTCAAATCTCTGTTCAGGATAAAAAAAACGCAAAATGAAAAAAAATCAATAAAATCAGTAGATAACGTAGGATAAAAATAATTTCAACAGGAGCTGTACTTTTTTTTTTTTTTTTTTTTTTTTACTAAAAATGAGTTTTTCATGTTATGATTTGAGATTTAAATATATTACAAATGTTCACTTTTCTTCCTTTTTATTACTCTACATAATATAATTTCTGAATAATTTTCTCCACTATACAGAAAAGAATGTTTTTTAAAAGGAATGTTTTATCTATTTAAATATGTATTTAAAATTTTTTTTTTTTTTTAACGTTTTTTATTTTTGGGACAGAGAGAGACAGAGCATGAACGGGGGAGGGGCAGAGAGAGAGGGAGACACAGAATCGGAAACAGGCTCCAGGCTCCGAGCCATCAGCCCACAGCCTGACACGGGGCTCGAACTCACGGACCGTGAGATCGTGACCTGGCTGAAGTCGGACGCTTAACCGACTGCGCCACCCAGGCGCCCCTAAATATGTATTTTAAAGCGTGGAAGGAGTTCAAGTATTTTTAACTTTGGTTTTATTAATTTGTTATTTGTGATACTCTGACTTGGACTAAGTTTGAAGTTCTTCTACACACCATCTGTAAGAAAAGACTGTCAAGGTATCAAGAGGGAAGTTTTCACCAGCCTTATTCTAAGAGAATAATGCGAAATAAAGAGAAAGCTATCACTGACCAAAACTGATTAAATCAAAAATTGATTAAAAATTAAGTTAAAAATATTTTATCCTTTGAGAGTAAAACAGGGCCATGAGGAAACCCTCACCTTGGATATATTGTTAGAAGTTTGAATACACTGATGTTTATGGTCTCCTTACTAGCCTTCCTGAATTTGTCTAGTCTAGAGCAATGCTATTCAAAGTGTGGTCCATTGCTTGGCTGCTGGGCTATTATTTGTTGCTAGTCTGCAACTTGATAAGGAGCTTATATTAGTACATAAGGCAACTGTGTCACCAAGTACAGTGTTTAGTTGACAGCAAGACTTAAGGAAGCAGGGTGATGTTTTATACTCTGGTACACGCTACTTATTTTATCATGGACAAATTCTGAGTAGTATTGGTCTATCAAAGTTTTCTGCAGTGGCTCAGTTAGATGTAAAATATTCACCAGAATGAATATTGTTAGTGAATTTTGTTATCAGAGCTCAACTTATAATTTGACTATTTTAATTAGGTAATGGGCAGAAGAATAGGAACAAAGAGGTTCATCACATAATTATTGTGTAACTATTTCTTTCAAAATTGGAGTTTAAAATTTTTAGAGGTCACTTATCATTTGAAAGAGAAAATTAAAAAGCTGGTTAAACACAAAATATCCTTAATTATTTTTAATTCAAATTCACACCAAAATAAGCCATTAGAAAGCATCAAAACTTTACTCACCTATAAACAATTTTGTGTTCATGTAAATACTGCAACCCAAGAACTACACATGCAGCATAAAATCTGTTTGAAGAAATAAAAAGATGTTCAATAAATTCCACTGCTGTTGAATCCCAGTTTATAATTTTATGCTCCAAAGCAGAATTCTGTAGCAAACTAACTTCACAAGTATTTATTTAGTCCCTAGTATATGCTAGACACAGTAAGACATGTCCTAACAATCAGGGATAAAATTAAAAACTAAGAAAAATACAATGTCTACAATGGGAGCCATTAACTTTGCCTGTCGCTAAAGTCCTCAGAGTAGACATTTGATCTGGAAAAATACAATTTACCATAAGGGCAGAAGGACAGTGTAAAAGGCAGAACTCTCAGGGGGGAAATACAGGGCATTCCCTAGGATGGAAAGCAACAGAGGTGTAAAAGGCACCTTTGGTAACCAATAACAAGTTTTTTGTGGCTCAAGTAAAGAATGGGGAAGAAGTGGGAGACAAGGCTGAAATGACAGCCTGGAGTCAAGTTGTGAAGGACCCTAAGTGCCATATTACGGATACTGAAATTTCTATTTTTAACGGTAGAGAATCACATCATTTAGGTCAGAGCAGAACGATCACATTTATGTTAGATTTTTCTGAGGGTAGTATGAAGGCTGGAGTAGAAGTAGGTAGATACCCAGAGGAAAAACAAACAGATGAGGCTATTGTGGTAGCACAGATGGGAGACCATGAGAACCTCCAAGGTAGTGGCAACAAAGAGAGTAAAGAGATGGGTTCAAAAGAAACTTTAAAAGTAGCACAAGACTGGTGTCTCCCTAGCAGCAGAGGATGAGGGAGAGGGAAAAACTTAAGATGACTCTTAAGATTTCCTTAGTGTAAAGAGTAATAGGTAAAGAGACAGAGAAATAGCCAAAGTTTTGTGGGGAAAATGAGGTTGACTTAGGTTGACTTTGAATGGTCTTGGGGCAGGTGAAGAAATTGGGTAAATGGGTTTGGATCTTAGGCAAACTTGAGTCCAGCTAGAATATGAACTCTTGAGGAATAGGACCATGAGGGTCTTTTGCAGTATTTATCCTAAATGTTTAGAATAATGCCTGAAACATGGCAGGCTTACTAAATGAGAAGGGAGGTAATAAATACATGAATTTAAAAATGCAGATGTGTTTTCAGTGCAGAATAGTCTATAAGGAAACACTTAGGACAATCAGGTTTTAATTATGCAAGTAATACATAGGTATTTTCTCTATCAAGTACACATAATACCTCTGGCCCCAAAGCACAATACTTCATTCATCCATCTATCCATCTCACCCCAGTGCCACTACCATCTATAGAGATAACTAACTACTCTTATTGGTTTGGTGAATGTTCTTTGAACTCTTAGAATGCACACGTAGATAATTTAGCTATGTCATGTGTTCCCTTATTTAACAAAAAATGGGACCATAATTTGGAAAAATTTAAAAGTGCAAGTATTTAGAAATATTTAATTATACATTAGATCTTACATAATTATTTGTTGAAAGTTTAAAGAATTTAGCTCAAGTCCCATTCAAACAGATATGATTCTAAAATTGTTTATTTGTATACATAAGATATTGGTTAACTTATTTTGGTAACAAAACAATATTATAACAATTATAAAAATACCTTGATTTCTCTTTTATTTCATTTTTTGTAAACAAATCACCCTAATGACACCCAACAAATAATGGGTATATTGTTTAAAATATATATTTCACCAAATGCTTACTATGCTATGTGTCAGGTATATGTTACATATTTTCACTTATTAGCTTATTTAATCTTCAAATCAAAGCTTTAAATCTTTTACAGAAACATAATGAAGCTTTCAGAGAGAGTAACTACTCTGTCTAAAGGTACAAAGCTAGGAAACAAACTATTTTTGATACCACAGTCTCAGTCAATAAAAATTCACTGATCACCTAGTATGTGCAACCACACTTCCAGGTGTTGCACTAATATACAGAACAGACAACCTCCTCCCTTTTAATGAGGGGAGATAGACAATAAAAAGATAAAAATAAATAGATGATTTCAGGTAGAAATAAAGTGCTATGGAGATAACAGAAAACAGCGTTAAGACTGATCTGATTTGGACATTAGTGATGTAGTGGTATTTTAGATAGGGTACTCAGGAAAGGATTTCAAAAAAATAACCTTTGAGGTGAGATCTGATCTAACCCAATGGGATCTAATCAGAGGGAGGTACTTCAAATTTGAAGTACAGCAATGTAGCATTTTATTCTTTATATTTTAATGTTTATTTGAGAGAGAG